GCGTGCGTGCGTGCGTGCGTGCGTGCGTGCGTGCGTGCGTGCGTGCGCGCGTGCGCGCGCGTGCGCGTGCGCGTGCGCGTGCGTGTGTGTGTGTGTGTGTGTACAGCTGTATAATTGTCCCTTTCAATTAAATAATACTATTACTAGATCACAAGTTATTTTGTTTTAAATTTTTATTGAATTGATATTCAATCATTTTTTGTTAAATTACTCCACTAGTTTGTTATAATAATAAAAAATAATAATAAAACTTGAACAAGCAATTTCCAATAATTTTTTAACCTTACTTAAAAGTAAATGTCCGAAATATAACATTTTAAGTGCTTTTAATATATTTTTAAAATAAATCTTCAATATTACTTTGATTAATCTAAAATATAATAATATATCGATATAAATACCTAATAGACATGTATAATTATTAGGATTCTATTAATAGAATCATAGATAACAGGTTCGCGTTAGAATTTTCGCTATGTTGCCGCTTTTACCACGTAACGTAATAATGCGAGAAAGTGATGGGTAACCCTACCACTTCACGCACTCATCTGCGCGTGTGCAGATAGCGCGTTGCTATATGTAGTAGTAGTAGTAGGTAAATAATTTTCGACAGTTGTATAGAGTGTCCGGGGTGTGGTCTGGTGAAAGCGGTATAGCGGCACGTGCTAGGGAAACGTGTCGGAGTCGTAAGACATTGTCGCGCCATCCACCATTGTGCACAGTAATAAACTTATAAAATGCTTTTTAACATATTTTTAATGTTCATTTTATTAATTTGTTGTTTGAGATTTGTAGGCAGATCGTTTACAACTTTTGGTATTTCATATATTTGTTAAAAATGGAGTATCCCGAAACGTGGAGATGTCTACTTCTAAACACATTGAAAAGGGCATAAAATTACTTACGATCGATGAGCAAGCTTGCTTATATAAACGTTTAAAAGAATCTCGAGTCGAACTGCACGCTCTTTGTATTAACAAAAAATTGTAGCTGATTGACTTTGAAGAGCCATCGTATATAACTTCATTTAATGTCGAGACAATTTTTTCTAATTTTTCTTTTCCAGAATATACTATTGCGTATTCTATTACCGAATACAGGTCTGTTTTGGGATCAAATACATAATAAGTACCCTTCTCACCATACTTGTCTTTAACTGTAAAATAAAAAATAAAAACAAATCAAACTCGAAATTAAACAAATTAATGCAAACTACGATAGTCATATTGTTGTGATACTGAAAGTTTCTGGATTCTGATAAGTAAGACCAGATATTATGTTTATAATAGCTTTATTGTTTTTCATCACTCGTCACACATCACATCATTTACACACTGCATTCGTTAGAAACATTGTGAAAAACAGTGGGACTAGTCTTCCGTATGGGCCTCTTCAATGGCTTCGTTGAACGCTTTCAACCTCTAAATCTCAAATAACCTCTAAATTTATCTTCAATTTTTTGTAAATAAACAGAAGTCACATGGTCTGGGTTGTGTGGCAGATGGGTCATCAGCTCCACATTTGAGGCCATCAAATAAGCATTCGTTACCGTAGCGGACTGTACAGAGGCGTTGTCGTGGTGAAGGACGACATTGCTTCGAGAACGCTTTTCGCGAATTTTTTTCTAACTATCTGGGCAAGCAGGTGTTTACATATCAATCTGTAGTTACTATACTTTGGCCTTCAAGCACTACCGTAGTGTAATATCCTGATTTGCCGAAGAAAGAAGCTATCAGTTTTTACCAATGCTCCGACTTTGATTTTGGTTTAGTTCAATTTTTTTTTATTATAGCGGTACCAATGTGTAAACATAAATTGTTTACAGGTATTTAAAAGCTAACAGTTTTGATTACATGTTTGGTCCCAACACTCACAAAACGATATAAAAGGAAATATAGATAGAAGAGGTACAGTATCGATCATTTTACATTGCACGTAAGCTCGTGGAGTATCAAATGAAGACTTTAAGATTGGAGATTTTCTTTCCCTTATCTACATGATTCCTATCTCCCTACTTGCTTATTATACGTCACCTTCATCCGTTTGAGTTCTTAGTTTTATCACAGGCATGATTAACATTTGCAGTTTTTGTGTTGACTTTTTTTAGTTTCCCGCCGGATCCTTTTTAAAGTAGAAATGGACTGAAGAACAGGCTGTAAAAGCTGGGTACCTACTAAATGTCATAGGCATTTTATGACATAACATTAAATTGTATATGTATGAATAACAACCGAAAAATTTATCAAGAAATAAATCATTTGGTTAATCAGGTGGACATGAAACTCCGAGTCGCCTTCACAAATTGTAGACCACATCTAAATGTGAAAACATTTCTGAAGCATTGTCAGTTATTTTTCGTCAAGATTTCATGAAACAAATGATTCGCTTCTTCGTCTTCGGAAATAAATATCTTCATTTTCTTGACAAGCTCGTCGACACTATAGTGACTACTGTTCAGCCAGTTCAGAAAGAGGTAATATTTCAGGGAGAATAAAGATTTTTTTGACGACTGTATTTTAATATTTCAACCCTTCCAATGATCGGACTGAGTTGAAATCTAGTAGGTTAAAGAAAGTTTGATGACAGTATAATAAATCATTAATACTGTGATTGTAGTATGTAGCTACGTATACACACATGCCTGCGTAGCTAATATCAATTATATTTGCGTGTAGTAAAACCTTATGCGTATTTGGTAACAAATGTGTACGTGCGTGTAAAAGTCAGCTGCGTAGCTACGTAGAACTAGCGTTAGTTCTCTAAGAAATTGCTTTAAATGCCGTTTCCATATACTCCGTGATTAACCCCACTTATAGCAAGTATAAAGCAATGCCTAGTTCAATATTCCGCTAGTTATGAAACATAATGTCGATATCAATTAAATGTCACATCCCTATCTGTAGATTGTCAACTTTTTGCTTTGGTTCCAAGAAGTTTATGTTCATAGGATTCTTAGCTTTTATGTGACTAGTAATAATAAAACCTTATTACATCCAAATAACAAAGTTTTTTAACAAAAGTTTGTTATTTTAAAAATTATGTTATCTTAGATTACGTTTTGAAATGTGTGCGTGTGGCGACACCGGTTTTCATACAAATGTTGTTTGATGCCATTTCCATTCTTTTCTTTATTCCGTGTAACCTACTCACAGAGAGTTCCTTTTTTAAATTTCGTTTTTGTTTTTTTAGTTGCTTTTACAAGTGGCCTGTACCAGGAGCTTTCGCTATGCCCCACGTGTTGTAGGATTTACTCCAATAAACATTGACTTACAAATAAATGGACGACGGGTCTAATACACAAACCACGAAAAAAATTTCCCAAGTCAACCTATTTAAACGTAGTGACATGTAAAGGAATATGAAAAAGCTAAAACGTTGAACTTAAATTGTGATGTCATCGCAGTACTGTCTAATTTTGCTTGCTTCGCTGTCAGTCGAACAAGCGAAGACTAAAGCGTGAATGACGCTCTGTATACGATTTTAACGCCCTATAAGTTCGGACACTTTTTAGCGCGGACCCGACGTCCATATGATTGTAAGTCAATGCCAATAAAAGATGCCGATAGCAACATAGTCGTTTAATGGTTCACTGTAAACTGCGTAAGGCCATATGATTTCTACCTACATTTCCCTTCACTAATATTTACCAAAATAATACATTTATAAAATTTGCAGCTACGATACATTAACGGCACTTGTTCATCAGACGGCACCACACTTTCAGGCCACAGCTAAATAATGAACTCTATCGCGAAATGGTCGGCGGAACATGTACTGGTGCTCCGTTTCTGTTTAAAAAACAATAATGTTGATTCAGAGAATGCATGAGTACGTTATTGCAATGCAGTGCCAAGGACAGATCACATCACATCTCATCTCTTCAAAAATCAGATCCTAAGTATGTAGAGCTCACGTTGTCTTAGATATGAGAGTTTTTTACATTCTTTATTAAAAAAAAAAGGAATATCTATGTATCTTCACAATAAGCTTGTAACGTAAACGCATGCAGAGGGAGTGCGTTATAGGGGTGTCATGATTAGGAAGCCGATCATGTCATTCGCTGTAGCCCGTAGTTGCTTCAAATATGCCTCGTCTAAAATATAGAAAACTTCCTCTCGTAAGAGCGGCGGCGTCTTTATAGTTACGGACATTCAAACGTATTATGTTATGTTATAATGGCTACTTGACAAGCAATCATGGAATGCAGATTCTTATATTTCGTGGATTGTGTGTTGTTATTCTGATTTTAATAATTTGTATCAGTGTATTCTTATGCCTATGTGTGTGCTATATATTTTTTTTTTTATTTATTTAATACTTTTACAAAAACTTAAACATATTACAAGCAGCTGTAGCTCAAAAACCACTAAGGGTTTATCTGTCCACAGCGATTCTCTCTAGCCAGTAAGTACTTCCTTAATTTATTTTTACATTTTCCTTCCACATATAGGTCTTGAATATACCCAGGCAAATTATTTAATAACTTAGGTATTATATACTCTAGTTTTCGAGTACCATACACATTATTTGTTTTAGGGAGTATATATTTTCTTATCTGTATGACTCTCAAATTAGTTGGTCTCTGATATTCACATAATTTATGTACATAATTAAATTCAGCCAACGTTGAAAATTTTACTTTATCATAAACACTCATCACTTGACAATAACTAAATAACCCAACATCATTATCTATGTATCTATTTTTAATATACCTTGGAACAATAATTTTTAAGATTCTTAATTGCAAGCTATATATTTCTTTTAGAATCTATTATGAATTCATAATATATATTTTTGTGTATTTCTGACCATTAACGGCTATGGCAGAATATCAGCGAGGACAATTTTCTTCATTGTCCTGTGTAGCTGAGTCATAGACCCATTTGACGTGTATTTTTGTTTATAACATTTTATAATCTTTTCTTTGTGTTGCATTGCTTGTCAAATAAACAATTTTTTTTTATATTTCGTTATTGTGTCTTGTATTGGATGAGACCAACACTAGACACGTTTGCACGCAGTGTACGCGCAAACCTTGAACGCCCCGTTGTGGGTACCTTCATCGGATCCGAATTCCGTCACACACTCAGGGTACCGCATAAGTGCCTCCAGCTGGGTACCGTTGTCGACACATGCCCTCATACAAGTCTTTCATTTATGCGATTTTAAGCTCTAAATAGCACTACAACTGTTATGGATAGAATTATCACTTAACAACGGGCGCACTCACTTGATATTATACAAAAAAAATAAAAATAAATGTCGAAATCCTCAGCTGTAAAGTTGTTTCACTTGTTATTATTACTTTTACTGACACAACTTAGATGCCCTTTGACATTATCCTTTTTACGTGTAATAGTACGACGATACTTGTCTTTGCAGACTGTGTGGTATTTTTTTTATGTATTTGTAACTGCTGCTCGTGTCGCCAGCGGCTACAGTCGTGGAGCCGGCGCGTAAACCGAACATCTCGCCGCCGCTCTGTTATTGGCCAGACTAGTGCCGTTCTTTGCATATCTGATCGCGTGCTACAGGTACCTAGCGCCAAGTGCAATACCTTACTAAACGTCAGTTGATCTACGTTCTCTGCAGATAACTTCTGTCATTCTTTAGCATTCTCGAGGCCGAGAACGAAACGATCGCAAAGCGCCGTATCCAGCTCAGTTGTGAACCCAAAGAATTATGTCAAACTCCGCACTCCCGTCGGTTAATCTTCTAGGTCTTCATCAGGTGGTCGCTTCGCTTTATAAAACTGAACTCACAAACTCAATGAATGAACATTTAGCTAATTTACAATGAGTATCTAGTTTCTGAATGCAAGTTGAATATTAAACGGTGTTTACAAACAGAAACACTAAATCAGTACAATAGGTTTCTTTCACGAATATCGTAAGCTATATAGAACGCCTTCATGCCAGCTTTGTCGGAGTATCGAGTATATAACCAGAAAATTTCTAAATTTTTTTAACTGATCCAGGACTATATAGAACTTGAGCATTCTTCTTTGTATTTAAATCGTAAGTAAATGTCTAAAATAAAACAGTAGATTTTCCATAATTGTCAGAAGAACAGTCATTGAATACATAGAACAGTAGACGTCGGCCAAAACCCGTAGATCGCCAGTTAAAACAGTATACCTGGCAACACTGATAGCAACTATGAATGAATGGTTTGCTTTTAGTATGTTCATTCATTAGCATTCTTAAAACTAGCATGCTTATTTTTAGCAAATGTAAACAGTTCGAGAGCATGCTCATTTCAAGTATGCTTATTAGCATGCTATTAAATTGCATGTGCATCTGTACCATTATACGTGAGGCGCACTATACGTTTCCGGAATTAATAAGAGAATAATACTATAAATGGTCAGATATGAATTTATTGTTGAACGTTAGTTTATTGTAAAACGTATTCCGAATACGGGAACAAGAATGGGAAGTGAAAAGATTTATTCTTCAAAAAGAAGTATGTGACAAAGAAACACAATAATGTAAAGTAAATAATTACTTGTAGGCATAATAAAACATATTGTGTGTGTGTGACTGTGTGTGTGTGTGTGTATGTGTATGTGTGTGTGTGTGTGTGTGTGTGTGTGTGTTTGCGTGCGAGTGTGTGTGTGTTTGCGTGCGTGCGTGCGTGCGTGCGTGCGTGCGTGCGTGCGTGCTTGCGTGCGTGCGTGCGTGCGTGCGTGCGTGCGTGCGTGCGTGCGTGCGTAAGTAAGTAAGTAAAGTATATTTTACTTCGTATTACAAAAGTGATTAATTAAATACCTTATTTTTATTTTCCAAAGAACATTCCAATTTATGCTACCTATGTCATCGAAGATTTTTATATTTTATTTTGCATAAACTAACGTTCGACAGCAATTTCGCCTGATGAAAACTAATGCGTGGTTTACCATCCATATTAACTACATTTACATCTTAACATATTATTATCATTCAGTGAGGTAAGCGAATATCACGAAGGCGATTTGAGAAATATATTTTATTTCTATATAAATATATTTATATATTATTACATTTTTGCTTAGTGTGGCCGTGGAAATCAACTTGACATTAGTTGTACACCCTGAATGTATAATTAAAGGTTTATTAACAATTTAAAATCTAGCCATTATAAATAAATAAACAAACATAGTCAGGTTATAAGCAAGACAGCTAGGTACTGTGGCAACCTTGCCACTAACTGGAGTAAGGTTTGGATTGCGGCGTAAGCAATTACGTCAATACCAAACAAGGAATGTAGTATCGTATCGCAGTATTTATTACAAAAGATTAATTAGAAAAGATTACGTTCGAATTTACAGAGGGGTTAAGGGATTGAGGTAATCAATTGCGAAATTAGTGCCAACATACCCATCAACACATTATATACTTCAATGATAGAGTTTAGGCTATAGCGAGAATAGCCAATGCGACTTGGAAACTTTAAGGCTACTTAAATACAGTTAAGTAAGTAAAGTGCATATAGAGGATTTTGTATCATATTTTCACTAAACAAATACATATATTGTGTTATCATAGTTTTCATTTAAAAGTGTTATTTTGTACAGTTGTATAGTATTCAATTTATATATAAATTAATCGTAAATATAAGTTACAAAAGCAAACAAAATAATTAAATCGCTAACTGTTCATTTTTTCAAAAACTTTCTCTTGACAAACAGCCCTTTTCCTCTTATAACCAGCTATGAATATATGACTGCATGATTTACAAAAAATCAAACAACTGTTGTCATATTTTCTAGTAAAATGAATGGTTTTCGAATACGTACGTAAAGACATTTGAAGTTCCGTATATTCAAGTAGGTATGTAATATTGTGCAAATCCCAATATCTGAACTCATTACTCGGCCAGAGTTTTTTAGCAGGGGATTTGGAAGATTCATCGCAAGTCAGGAAATACTTGATTACCTGTAACAATAAATATATTATCAGTTAATTAAAATTTTGTAGATATTTTTGTAGGAGAGTAAACCACTGCTCTTTAGCGCTTCTACATACAAGTGGCACTTCGCCGAGTGCAGGTGAAATGACTGCTGACATGCCCATGACAAATGGTGATTGCAATTTATACCTATATCTGGAACATGCGCCAGGCCTTCAAAATCCTGTCATTCATGGGTCACACTAATCATTTGACAGAAAATATAACTAAGCCAAATTAAGGTGAATATCAGATTTGCACATATAGGTACTCCTTTTTTATTATACATATATCAATTAGACATAGAGACATAATATCATTTAATTTGTTTGAAAATTATTTTGCCAAATCATTACGATAACAACTGCGCTCCGATTGGCCAGCCCAAATTCGAAACAATTGACGGGTGTCGTCAATTGTTTCACTTCAAACAGACCAGTTTAACTTGAGCTTTGTAATAATGCATGAAAATTTAAGAATTACGGATTTAATATTTAATTACCGACGAAATGTGATACTGTTTGTTTTTAATCGACTTCAAAAAAGGAGGGGCTTCTCAATTCAACTGTGTTTTTTTTTGTATGTATGTTACGTGATAACCCCGGTATTTGTGAAACGATTTTCATGATTCCTTTTTTGTTGGAAAGAGAGTAACCTCCATAGTGGTCTCATTTTATTTTGAAGAAAATCATTCATCTCTAAGGGTGGCTGGTCACGCATGAACATTCATTTTTATAAATAGCGCCTAAATTTTACTTAAGGAGCAATTCTTTTCATGATTGGTTTTGCTATTCTCCAATTCAAAGCGTTTTTCTCTCTCAATATACTTTGAGCAGTGAGAACCGATTTTTGTTATCTCCTGTGTCAAGTCCCGTATAGTGGCGAACTAGGGGATATTTCAATAAAACTTAGCAAATAGACTATTTTATTTTATTTATTTATTTATTTACTATTCAAAATTACAACGTATTACTTATTACAAAAAGTCGCCAAATTGCTGTGCAGTTTGTTGGCGACATGTGCACTCTTACTTAATAATACCTACTTTACTATATTTAACATTATACAATTGAACCACTAACTTATTAAATAAAAGATAAAGATTATTTTAAGAGGTACGCCTTTAACTTACGTTTTAGTGCATATTTACTTAATTTTGTATCATTTCTAAGCCAATCAATGGCGTTATATATTTTTGGAACTAAATAGCGTGTACATCTTTTTCCATAATAATTATTTGCTTTAAACTGCACTAGTTTACCCTGCCTTACTCTTTTTGTCATGTACTTATTTTTAAGCCTAACTTTATCATTATCGCTATAGTAATTTTCCAACACTATCAAATACCTACTCTTAACTTCTATAGGCATGACCCTACAGTAACTAAATAAGTCATTGTACTCTGTGTGTTTACATTTTTCTATTACTTTTTTGCACACTAAATGTTTTATCAGACTAATTTGTAACTTTCTGATTCCTTTTAGATAACTAGCAAAGGTCCGACCATATACATTTAATCCATAGCTTATTAGCGAGTCTGCCAGCGCATAATACACCATATACAATGTTTTTTTATCCAATATACAATTTAAGTGAAAAAACCTACCAAGCATTCTATTTAATTTCATACACACTTCACTAACATGTATTTTCCAACTAAAATTACGTTCTATAATGAGACCTAAATATTTAAATTGTTCAACATATCCTAGATTAGTACAAGTACATCCTACTTTATTTTTATGTAAACACTCATAATTGTGTCCGACTATTGATATGTCATTGTACGTAACTTTCTTTGCCTGTACATTATACGGTGAGTGAATGTGCACGCATTTGGTTTTTGCCATATTTATAATAATGCCATTATCGTGTGCCCATTTCGTAACATTCTCTAAATCGTCTTGAATATGTTTTTTTTTTTTAATGTCTAATGCATTTTTTGATGCGAAACACAAACTCATGTCGTCCGCGTACATTAACACATAACAATTTTTAATGACATTTATTACGCTATTGACGTGTATAATATAAAGACGTAATTCCACGTACTTTTGACGTCGGTTTTTTTTAGTACTCTGTACTGAGATTATTATTAATATATTTGTATTAATGCATCGCTTTTGCTGTGCTTTTGATTATTCTGCTATAGTCCATGACCACTTCTTCTCTTCCAACATTACTTGCTTTGTGTGTACTTTTTATATTGTGTATCAAAACAGTGACCGTAAAGCAATAATTTTACAGGCGCTCGGAACCCGTGTGTATGAAGAATGATCCAGGCAGACCGCAGTCGTGAGTATTAAAATGAAAGGCGAACTGCGGGTGGCATAAAAGTACAAATTTATTTTCTGTACCGAAACGTGAGGCTTGTTTTCGGGCTCCAAAAGGGTTGTAAAATATTTTATTATATTATATAAAATGCGTACATTATTGTACCTCTAAAATAGAATTGTTCATGTTTTTTCAAAAAAATCTGATTGTAATTTTATTAGTATTTATATTAATATCGCTAGGCAATAGATAGAAAACTCGATCTTCGGTACTTTGCCTTTTTTAACCGACTCCAAAACAAGGAGGAGGTTCTTGATTCGACTACATGTTTTTTTTCGTATGTATGTTACGGGATAACTGAACCAATTTAGATTTTTGAAGAATTATTTTTGTTTTTTTGTCCGTTTTGTAATTCAATGTTTTGCTGTTTTTCTCACACCACAGAATGGAACAGCCCCCCCATTGTTAGAGATCTTTATTACAATAAATACAGATAATTTTTGGAATATACGGAGACGTACACACAGGTCAGTTGTTGGCGCTGTACTATTTCAGCTTTCTAATTTGTGATTTCAACGCAAACGAGAGTTGATATTTAAGAGTTATATAATGCCCATTTGTCTGATGAGTTGCCAGGGATGGATGGTCCTTATTTCGTTTCTATTTCTGGATATATACTCGATGAAATCAATCGACAGTCGTCATTTTATCACACATAGGTACACTAGTAAGCACGATCAAAACTTGTATTAACAGAGAATTATTATTGAAGGGACAATGGCCAACAGACGATGTCAGGTTATATAGGGCTTTTCATTAAGGGCGGGTAGATTTTGACAATTCATAGCGGCCATGTTGTTGAGGCTGCCTTTGTCAAATGTGTTGTTTATTTTTCAGTAACTAGACTGCCTCGGGTTCTCCTGAACACCTCACGAACAGCGGCGATGTTTTCGGCACATCTTGTGTTTCATTGACTTACGGTTCACTAAACCGGTCGACTCGAATTTGGCCACCAAATGTTGAATATTTAACTGGGGAGGACGACCATGTAAACCGTAAAATGGGTGCAACAGACGAATCGTTGCCACAATAGAACATCCATTTTGATAATATTTTTTTTTATCATTTGCACGTATTGTTCGACCCTGTAACTTGCTATGTTGATTTGTTTCTAGTGATTGAACAATAAACAACAGATATGACAAAAGCATCCTCGACAACATGGCCGCTATGAACTGTCAAAATCTACCTGCCCTTGATGGAAAATTAATACTATAGTAAAATACTGCACAGAGGAAATAATACCATGAATATTGTCGTAACTCAAAAATAACTTTAAATTTAATTGAAAAAAAGAAATACCTAATGATCTTGTGATTTTTTTTGTTTTTATTTTTTTATTTTGATTATTTTAATTGTGATTATTTTTATTTGTACTTTTAGCTATCTAATTTATAAACGAGAATATAAAATTATTGGTTCCATTCAATAGTTTTTGGAACTTTCAAATCGTGCTTTCTCAATTCCATCATATTTGAGTTACGACTGTATGCGGTTTCAAGTTTCGTTTTCGGACAGAAGAAAAATGGAATTCACTAAGCCTTGAACTTTTTCAATAAATTATGTTTCTACAGTATTTTGTCGATTACTTTCTTGGCAACGTTGGCCATCATGTCGTACATTCTGTAGAAAATAATGTGTATAAGGGAAATGGGCACTACACTGTGCTGTGCATTTACTATTGATTAAATGAAAAGGTAGATTTACAAGACTTGATATTTTGCAAATTTAAGGGTTAACTTGGTGTAATCCTACTGTTTATTTACATAGTCAAATTTATGAATATTACTACACTCCCGGAAACATAATTCGAGACACCTCGCATCAGTATTAAATGCCCTAAGCTTAAATAATGTTCGATTGATCAAGAACTATCCTAAGCAATTTTGAGACTAGTATTTTAAAAGTCTAAGTCCTTGTTGGAAAGTTGGACTTGCAAAACCGGGAGAAGCCTTTTTCTTCGGTGATTACAGTGGTTTTGTATTCTAGCCCTTTACGGAAAAAACGCGAGGTGGCTCAAATTATGTTTCCGGGAGTGTGGACACGGGCCTCCTCTAAGGAGTTTTCAGAATTTTTCCAGGCATTGCAGGCAAGCAGCGATACAACCAGGTACAGCTAGTTATATATAAAAATAAAAAGTTTACAAACGTGATCGTATTCAGGTTCGTCTATTAATATCAAAATGCTCTTGACAGGATGTGTGCAGAAGTCGGAAGTGGCCAACCAAAAAACCGTTGACTGAGCTGCCCACAGCCAACAAAATGCCATTATGCAAACTGAGTATAGCTGTAACAAATTTACAGATATAGGTTCGGAGTAGAAGTTCTAAAAAAAGAAACTATTTTGTTCGCTTTTACCTTCTGCAATAGTGACGTAGTGGGTGAGAAAATTCTCAGTAGTTCTGTGAAGAAACTGTCTATTTATTAACAGAACAAATGGGAAAAAAGTACCAGTAGTTCTGTCAACAGAACTGTACCACAGAACTAGTGGGAATTATGGGCCTCGCAACAAATGAAAATGGTATGAGGCATGATTTAAATAGGACATTGCATAATTTGACATAATATCATTTCAGTAAATACCATTTTAAAATTTTATTAGTCAGTATTAGTAATACTTTTATTAGGCTAAAAAGATACACATTTAAACTACCGCGTTGCATTGCTCATTGCTCATTGGCACCACATCCAGCCAGAGTAAAAGGGGCACAGTTTAAGGGCCTAGAACTGTGGAGGGGAAGACCAACCAGCCACAGCCGGTGGCCAAATTTCTACCGGCTACGCAGCGCGTGACAAAAGGTAGGGCAGTAAGGGTAATTAGTTTTTGGGTAAATGGTTGGGTAGTGTTGTTAGGACTCATTCCTATTTCCGTTGATGATATTGCGCTTCGTGTTGCGGTATTGATTAATTTTCCAAATCAAGTGAACCATTGAGTCACATTTTAGTAGCAGCAGGGCTTCTTTTGAAAGAGTTCGTTGTGGAAAGTACTGCCACCTCCCTATTTCTGACGCCAAACAGTATTGTGTACATTACTGCGTTTCAGTTTTTTAGGCTCCTTACCCTAATTGTAATGAAATTACAGGCACATGGGATGTATTAACTTTTGTTTCAAGGCGACGTGTAGTGTAGTATTATATAAACGTATAATCCCTTGATCAATAACCGCTCACGCGATGCGTTCATCCTTCCGCAAAATGGCGGCTTTAGGCAAATTAGAAAAGGATGTAGTTTAAATACAAGTTTTTGAAAATAAAAATTATTATTCTGCATTGCTAAATAAATACCCTCCGTACTACAACAAAAACATCTCAAATAAAATGCAGGTGAATATGATAATATTCCGTTTGAGTGGTTCTAATGTTTACCATGAAATTACTCCTTAAAGTATAGTTTATAAACATTTATATTCAGGGTAAACTTAAAAAACGCAACTTACGATATGTTTTCAATAAATAAACACCGACATCACCAGCCCCAAACAATAATACACATGATTGTCGTGACGTATTTTTGAAGTTGTTTATTTTTTTTAAATGACAGACCCAGGCATTAAAAAAACTTTATGGTTTGCTAGAGTAGTTACCGAAATAGCAATTAGTATTAGTTCTTTTACCTGTTATAACTTCGATATCCGATAAATCGGTATAAAATCATCACCGGCACCTCTAGGTGTGGTATGCTTCCAGAGACGCATGAATCGCATGAGCAGATAAAGTCAGTGTTATATCGTCATTCGGTTGTTTCACTCGCAAACCTCATAACCTTATATAGCGACCCTGCCATATCTGAGTATTGCCACTGGCGCGACTCATGTAGCAAATAAAATATAAATCATATCTGGCTTCGTGCGCATCAAAAATGTGTTACTCGCAAGCTCCGAAACCACAGCCACAAGTGACTTCCCAAATTGGTTATCAAAATACGGTAACCAATACCCAGATGGAAACTCACATTGGAATGATCTCCAGGCGTATGCTGGCATTTATAATTTTTTTTTACTGGTCGGAATAATCATAGTCATAACATGCTTTAACAAAAAGGTCGAAAGTGGAGTCGAAACTGAGGTGTTACGTCTACAGAAGATCGGTTAATAGTCTACAAATAAACTATATTCCTCTCTGTGACATGACGTTGTGATATTACGGTGTGTGTGTGATGTGTTCTTGTGAAAAGTGACTATAGTTATATAGTAATTTAAAAGGCGTAAATCGCCATACACATTTTTGTATGTGGTTATTATGGCGGAAAAGGTGCGATAATTTTGACATTTTAACCATTGACTTACAATTATATGGACGTCGGGTCACGCTAAAAAGTGTCCGCACTTCTAAGGCGCTAAAATCGTATACAGAGCGCGACAGTCTTCATTTGTTCTACTGACAGCGCGATACTGCGATGACATTACAATTTAAATTTCGAATAGGTTGACTTGGGACATTTTTTTCGTGGTTTTTGTATTAGACCCGTCGTCCATTTATTTGTAAGTCAATGATTTTACCATAAGAATTTTTTTTATTCAAATAACGATTCTAAATGTACAGACATTTAGAAGAAATATATAAAGATTAGGTATGTTTATAATAGAGTGTAATTAAGTACGAATTATGTAAGTAATGATTTAATATTGCGCGATTTTTATGTCTAATTATTTCAACAAACTATGTGAAGAATTACGTGCTATTAGAAAATATTTAATTAAAATCGGACCTAAACGGCAAAAAAGTTATTAACCAGCTAAGAAAAAGTTAGAAAACGCCGAAATTATAGTAACGCAATATAATAATTACTTAGACTCTATAAAGAAAGTGTTACAATTTATGAGTGAAAAAAAAAGAAATAAATAGGTGTTGTACAGCTGTCAGAAAATTATACGCAGAAATTCAAGCTTTCTGTCCCGCTGCAGAACACGGAGAAGCGGAAGAGGAACTTAGGAAAGCGATGAAGTATCGGAGGTAAGTGACAGTAGTTATAGTGCGAGCGAGTCTTTACCAAATATGACGAAATTTGACTTAAAAATTGCGCTTAGTCTTTTGCCGGTTATGACTGACAAGGACGAGAACACGAAGGAATTAATTGACGGAATAGAGTACTGCAGATCTACTTTAGCATCTTCAGAAAAAACGCAATTAATTTCCTTTGTTATAAAGAGACGGGTGTCTCTCAATCGGCAAAGTTAAAAATATTAGGTAACTACGAGACGATTGCAGATCCTCTTAAGGATATGCGAATACACTTAATACCCCTAAAGGCGGCAACTGCACTTGAATCGAAGTTGCAAATTATTAGGCAGAACGAGCGCAGTATTTCACATTTCGGACATGAAATTTCGGAATTATTTAGAGATTTAACATCTATCGCAGGCCGACGGAAACACAGATCACTATAATATTTTGTGTCCACTGAACGAAAAATTCGCTATAAAAAGACTTGCCGACGGCCTACGAAATCGTCGAATCGGAACTATAATTTCAGCACGCGATTACAAATCGCTCAAAGGCTCCGAAGAGGAAATGACTTCGGTTCCAGGTTCTGCTGATATTGTTGGCATGCGCAGACAAAGGCGAGGACAGCGAGATTCCTACACAAGGGGACCACGATATTCTAGGGGAGGTAATCAAAATTACAAATACATTCTACGACCCCAATATCAAATCAATACCAGAGGTCCGTCACGTGGCGCAACGTCAAGAGGTAAGTACAATTTCCAACGCCGTCCTTACATGTAAAGGAATGTTCATGCCATGTCAGTTGGATCGCGCATGACTACAGATGAACTGCATTTACATCTTTCCAAAAACCAATATCAGATGACGAGACTAGCTATAGGACTGAAGACCAGCCCTAGCGCTTTCACTAGGATGATTACAGTTGTGATGTCAGGATTACATTATGAACAATGTTTGTTTTATCTAGACGATTTGTGTGTTTTTGGTTGAAATTTAGAAAACCATAATAAAAATTTGATGGACGTGTTAATGCGCTTACGAAAAGTCAACTTAAAATTAAACCACATAAAGTGCAAATTAAAAAAAAAATTTGTTCCTCGGAGACGTGGTATCCGAAAATGGTGTATCACCTGACCCTTCAAAAACTCAAGCTTTAAAAGATTACCCAAGGCCACAAAGCACGGAAGAAGTGAAGCGCTTTGTAGCTTTCGCTAATTACTATAGAAAATTTATCACACACTTCGCAGAGAAAGCTTGTCCTCTTAATAAATTATGTACAAAAAAGCAACATTTTTATGGACAGAGGACCGTGAAAAATCATTGCAAGAATTAAAGTCGGCTCTCATAAGCCCTCCAGTCCTTCAGTATCCCGATTTTTCGAAAAATAACGAATTTCTATTGCAGACCGACGCATCTGGAATAGCTATAGGTTCGGTACTATGCAATAGGGATGGTAGACCGGTGGCTTACGCAAGTCGCAGTTTAAATAAAGCCGAAAAGAATTATCCCACTATCGAAAAAGAATTACTGGCGATAGTGTGGAGTATAAAGTATTTTCGACTTTATTTATACGGCAGACGGTTTAAACTACAAACAGACCACAGACCACTAGTACACTTATTTGGAATGCGTAATCCCACAAGCAGATTAATGAAATTCCAATAACAATTAGAAGAGTTTTTAACTTTGTAATAGAATACATAAAAGGCGTGAAAAATTCGGCAGCGGATGCTCTATCAAGAATAATATTAAGTTAGGAAGATTGAAAGCTAATGAGCTAACGAACAGTAAATGTGATAACAGGGGCACAAGCGAAAAGGATGCAAGAAAGTAAACAGGTGCAATATAAGCCAAATTGAACGGCCAATAATCATCCCCAACACTGGTGGGCCTGATCAACCAAGAGTAGCGCAGATAATTAAGAAACCGAAAAATTTGGTAGAATTCGGGTTAATAAAAAAGTTAAGTTAGTCAAATTTGAAAGAGAAGGATTAATAACGGAAAAATCGTATTATGTCTATGTGCCAAGCAAGTCAAGTATTTTCCTCAATAGATTTTCTCGATCATCAATCACGTGAGACGTATTGGTGAGACACTCATTTAATTTATATACGAAATTAAGCATAGAAGAAGTGTGCATTATAAAAGAAATAGCGAAGAGTTTATTGCAGGGACAGTTAATGAAATAAAGGCAAGCACACAATGGTCCGGACCATGAATACTCAAAAGTGTGCAAAGAATAAATAACGAAGATGACAAGCGAGTCATACTTAATGACTTTCACCTTTTGACCACTAGTGGCCACGCGGGCATCAGGCGAATGACTAATAATATAAAAAATTTTGTTATTGGTCTAGCATGGATAGAGATATCAACCAGTTTGTATCAAAATTTGAACAGTGCCAGGAACAAAAACATGGCATTAAAACAAAACCCATGGAAATTACAAACACTTCAAGTTACGCGTTTGAAAAAAAAAATTTGGACGTAGTAGATCCACTACCTAAGGATGATAAAGGTCATTGTTACGCGCTCACATTACAATGCGAGCTCTCGTAGTGTTTATCCCTTACACTGCAAGGATGCTACATCAGTTCATCAGTTGCCAGGGCGTTTGTAAACAACTTATCTTACGGTACGGAATCCCGCGTGAAATCGCGACTGACGGTGGGTCAGAGTTTGTTTCAAACACCTTGAACCAGGTACGTGAACTTCTTAAAATCAAACAGCTGACATCAACCCCTTACCATCACGAGTCAATTGGAGCAGTGGAAAACACACACAAGACGTTAGGTGCGTATTTAAGAATATATTGTGAAAATCGTCCTAACTCATGGAGTAGCTGGCTACCCTACTGGTGCTTCGCATAGACCAACACGGTGCATACGGAGACTAAATACTCTCCACATGAGTTGAAATTCGGTAAAACGTGTAAACTACCATCTATGAAACTACCTAATAATCATGATTCTGACATTCATTCCTTGTACAGATTACAGATAGCTCAAGAAGATGCTAGAAAGAATTTACTTGAAAGCAAGGTAAGTTATGACAAAATTCTAAATCCAACAAAATTATAAAGCAGGTTACTTGTTTGTGAAAAATGAGGAAGGGAATAAAATAGATAAGGTATATTTGGGTCCGTTTTTAATAATCAAAGACTTAGGTTGCAACGTACAAATTTTGAAAAATGGCAAAGAAGTAATCGTTCATAAATATCGCACTAACCCTTATACAACGCAATGATAAAAACATATATAGTCATGTAATAATAATGTACTTTGATGTCAATGTATAATAAATATTATGAAGTCAATTTATAATTAATTAAAAAATAAAAATTTATATATTATACTATACTTTTGAATTAATAAGTTAAAGTTCATATTACTATGGCTTTAATTAGTTAATGGCGTATTTTAAGTAGCTTATATAATATTGTGATTTATACACTCAAATGTATTAAAAGCTATTTACTTAAGTACAATGCAACTATAATAAAATAAAACGATCATTTTCATTTATATTCCCCTCCGAAAAGATGTAGTGTGGTATAATATATACATATTATCCCTTGATCAATAAAGTCGGTCTTGTATCGTCCTCATAACCTTATAGACGTGCGCCGCAGTGGCAGCCCTCCAATATTTGCAAAGCGATGAGCGGGTTTCACCTCAGTCTCTAAAAAGTTACTTTATAATAATACATAATTTGTTGCTTTCACTTTAAGGTGAACGCCTAACGTAACGCCTTGTTCGCAAAGTAGAGCGGAGGATACCTTTACACAAAACACCCGACCATACCACCCGGATAATGGATACGGGAAACATTTCATGCTTATCTGGAACATCTGTACTGCTTATGGCATAAACTTCATTGTTTTATCGGTTTAAGTAATAAAAAATAAATAAAAAGACTATTCTTCAACAGAAAATATACAACAATATTTATTATAAAACAATGCTTAAATCTGTGGCGAAGAAAAGGAAAAAGCGTCAGCAATTTGCTGGGTTTCAGGCTTCACCTGTCAAGTATTCGACGTCGTATACACGGTAGCATATAGAGATGGGTATCTTTTCGATTATATATTATATAAATAGGAGGGTATCTCACTCACTATATACGTTTACTACAGAAATAACAAACCTTAAAACTTAAAATGACATCACTGTGTACATAGAATACAACAAGCAGAATGGAATTTAGAAGAATATAGAGTTAGTACATTTTTAATTCCAATTATAGTTTTACTTTCGTTAATTTTTGTTTGTTTTATTTTTGTTGTGTGTGTAGATGTTAGTCTGCAAAGCGAATTTCTTCTGCATGCGAAATGGATTTCGACGAAGTTGCTCTCTGATTACTTTGATGTTCGCAATCGTCCTTACAGACTGCGGGCGACCACACGTTTTCTGGTATAATATACGAAGTTGGGGCTTATTCTAAAACATGTTATGTTACGGAAAATCTCCATTGGTATTCTTTCCGCCACATGTAGCGGTATTATAGACTCACGTTTTGTTCTCCCCATCACGAGAAAAATATTAAACTGAATTTATAAACGAACAAATATTACACAAGCATTCTAAATTCAAAATTGAAAAAAGAATTAAACAGCTGCCAGCATTGACTAATGTAAGTCAATGGCTGCCAGTATTATTTTGTTATTTTTTTTTAGTTTGTCTTGTCTTTAAGTTATGAACCCACTACATTATATTAAAAAGTGAGTATATTATGTATATTATATTATTATTATTATTATTGTAGTAGTTTTTTATTGGGTGACAGAGGGAAACCAGGTTTTTCCAATATGGTGGTTTTATTTGACAACATATACAGCATGTACAACGTCGGTAGTACAGTGGGAAAGGACTCCCCCTAATCGGCACGTAGTCGAGGTCCCGTACGCACGTTCCAATTAGGAAGCGGCTCAGGGTGCAACAACTACGTGTTTCGTTCTAAAGCACAGTTCCAAATAGGAAGCAGCGCTAGAAGCGTAGCACAGTGCAGTAAGTTCAACGGTAACGATCTAAAGCGGAGTTCCAGACAAGGAAGCACAGCTAGATGCGTAGTAAGTTGGATTACAGACATGTTCGCATCGCGCCAGTAGTCATTCCGCGAGGGAAAATTTTTTTTGACACTTATATTCATCATGTGGTTTTCCTTCACCGTCACATTGCTTACAAAATCAAAGTAACCTGTACATGCTACCACTGGGACTTGAACCGTTGACCTATCAAGAAATTATCATTCTCCCACTGAGCTGCCACCGCTTTTTATTAAACATACTTAATAAGAAGATTTAAATTGAAGGTTGTACTTAAAAGAAAAAACTAGTACCGTCTTTCTAATAAAATAAAGCTGTCATTGTTTGAGTAAAATGTTGCAAGAACTTGACAAAAACCTTACACTAAATATGTACAGAAAATACTTACCAATATGATCTGTTTATTTGTATAGGTCATTTTCTTTCTGAACTGCTCTAGGATTACTAAACCTATAGCGCTAATAATATAAAAGTAGAAGTGGATATTTTCAAAAGTTCCTGCAACGGTGAGATAATGCATCACAGCTGACGGCGCATAATAATAGTTCTGTAAACACACAATATTAAATTCGCACTCTTAATAACGCACTGTAATAAGACCACATCTGGAAAATGACAAATTTTCAGGAGAGAAGATAGATTCTACGTACGAAATTAACGGAATTTTGTCATACTTATATAGAATAGAAAAGTTACGACACATTACAAATTTCATACAAATACAATTGTTATGTCCGAGGCCTCGACTGCATGAAATTGATAACGACTTCACGCATTAACGGCATGCAGTCTATCTCGGCTGTATGAAGTCGATTTCGACTGCATCCAGTTAATTAAAAAAAAAATTTTTTCGGATAACTGGGATGCTGTCTTTTTCCGGAGGATGGCACCAAAACCATCCGTCTTATACTCTGCAAACATCCCTCATGGACTGCAGAAACGAGTCAGTCTCAACATCATCCTAAAAATATTATTGTACTGTACACGTAGGGTCTCCAGCGGCCGTTTGGTGTAGTCAACCCATAGGCTCTCGGTGTAACTTTGACAGTAAGTTAATGCCTGAAACCTTTATCCGAGACCTCGACTGCATGAAGTTGATAACGATTTCACGCATTAACTGCAAACATGCAGTCAATCTGTTAGCAGTTGTGACGTACGATTACACATGGCAATAACCAAGGGCACGGATTATGTACTTATAGGCACAACTCACACTGGCGCAGAGTCGAAGCGTCGCGTCGCGTCCTGTTTTTCAACTTCACCGTCTGGCGACGCGTGACGACACTCGCATTAGTGCGCCGGTATCTCAGTGTGGTCGGCGTCTGACGCTTCACGGCGCCCAAGTGACGCGCTTCGACGCTCGATTCCATATTTGCAAAACACAAATTTGTAGGTACCTTAATAATGGGAAAATAGAGATGAATATGCTATAGGCGAAAAACATGACCCTTCGCGATGCTTCGATTCTGCGCCAGTGTGAGTTGAGCCATACACTCAGAAACGCAATGTTGCATAAATGAAATAACCATGCCGTGTTTTGATACCACATTGTTTGCAAAGGAATTATTAAACAAATGACATTCTCTACGCTGTGCAGGTATCTCAAAATAGTTTTCTCTTGATTACGACACCACACTATAAACGCACACAGTAGGATATTTATATTCTTACAATATTTATATATATTGCAATATTTTGATCTATATAACACACAGCAGTAACACATACAGAAATATTTACGTAGTTTATTTTATTCTATTTTATTTTGAGACTTACATGTCCGCGCGTCTGTCACTAATTTCGGTTTACCGCTCATTGACAACCAGCGCCACAGTTTAGTTACGGCTGTGGCATTAGATGAATGAGGTGCTGCAACTCGTGAAGCAACTTCACTCCTGACAGACGACAGACAACTAGGCCTTTCAGTTGCTACAACCGGCAACCGTTAATGGAAACTCGTAAAAAGTTGCCAGTTGCGTCAACTAAAATTGCTCCATCTGCGGAGCGCCTAAATGTTACTGAACAAATAGTGGCGCATATATTAGGTATAGAACCGTTAGGTATAGAACGGTGTTTGTCCTGCAAAAAAACGCGCACAGCTCTATACGTTTATCGAATACGCAACGGCCTTGTCAAGCAAATCGAATAAACTTTGACGTATTCGGTGTGCAGTGGCGCATAGTATTAATGCATCTCTTTCACACGGCGCGAAATCATATGTATTTTATCGAATAGTCACCGAACAAACGGCATCTAGTATTGAAGTATCTTTTGAAAGGAAGGCACGCATAATTTATTATCACAAAATGGCCGGCAAATCCACTGACGACAACGATTTATTGATATTTTTAGTAGAACAAAGACCCGTTTTGTGCACTACACACATATATGGCTCTAGAAAAAAATTAACTTGTTTTTTGGGTAAACTCTGGGATAATTTATTTTGCCACGTTAATAAGCAGTGTGTAATTTTTATTGTGATAGATAAGGTAGAGTTTTCATTATATTTTTTTAGTCAATTGAACAAGTTCTCTTAATTTTACGGGGCATTGGATGGGATCATAAAGAAGTGGGTATTGATTGAGACAGACCACGAAATTAACATTTAATTTGAAATTTTGTTAAATTTCATGGTCTTCCTTTTATTTAAGATGCTGCTGTGTTATTTAGAAGAAAATAATCCTTACGATTGAGGCTTCGAGTGAAGTCTTCTTTCAGTAAAATTTTCTATCTATGATATTTGATACACTTTCCCTCCACCGAGTATAACCATATGTATAATCAGAAATAGAGACGAAATAAGGGCCATCCATCTCTGGCAACTCATCAGGCAAATGGGCCTTATATCACTTTTAAATATCAACCCTCGTTTGCGCTGAAGTCACAAATTAGAAAGCTGAAAAAGTACAGCGCCAACAACTGAACTGTGAGTACGTCTCCGTATATTCCAAAAATATTTTGTATTTATTGTAATTATGATAATATCTTTAACAATGGGGGCTGTTCTATTGGGTGGTATAGGAAAATCAGCAAAACATTTAATTACAAAACAAACGGTGTCACATTTCATCGGTAATTAAATATGTAATTTTTCAATTATCGTCCATTATAGCATAGCTCAAGTTAAACTGGTCGGTTTGAAGTGAAACATTGGACGACACCCGTCAATTGTTTCAAATAATTTTTGCGTCTTGCGTCCACCTAATGCAACTCCCATTACGTCACCTCATGCTATTCATTACGCAGTCGTTACTAGTGTTGCATTGAAAAAATAAAATTAAGTGTCGATATTTGCAAGTATAATTATTATTACTGTTTAACATTATAATGATTTATTTAAACAATCGGTAAAGTAAAAAAAAAACATATCTGATATCGTCATAGTGTTGAGCAATGAGTATTGTTAGTTACTCCAATTTTATTTAATAAATCCACATTGTCTGAGTTTATTAAACTTTTTCATTTAGCAGGACAGTTTTAAAACAAAATAAATAACATTTCGTCTTTATTTCTGGTCATATACTCGACGGTTTCCCGCCGCATGGTATTGCCGTGTGACGCCCTGTATATGATAACCATAGTAATTATTTTATTTATATTATCCTTACTAGTAGGCAGAACACTCTATTGCTTATTAATCTATAATATTGATGTATTGTGTCTTCATCGTATATAATACGCTAGTACATAAATATCGTTGTTTATACTGTTAATAACTTAAGTAACTTATATACGTACCTTTAGGTTTTCTGCCTTTTTACTAAATTGCATTACTTCTATTGCAAATGTTTCGAAATAATCAATGCGTTCTAACAGGTATCGTCTACTTTCACGTATGTTGTGCTTTGCCGCATTGTTAAAATCACTGGTCCAACCACAAGAATAATCTATAATAAATAACACAGATAAATGATAATCTAAATGAGAATCGTTCGGATACTCGTACTTTGTTATAGTAATTTATTTCATTGTCATCCCCATGATCATTGACTTACAAATAAATGGACGACGGGTCTAATACAAAAACCACGAAAAAAATGTCCCAAGTCAACCTATTCGAAATTTAAATTGTAATGTCATCGCAGTATCGCGCTGTCAGTAGAACAAATGAAGACTAAAGCGGAGTTTGGCGCTCTGTATACGATTTTAACGCCTTCAAGTGCGGACACTTTTTAGCGCGGACCCGACGTCCATATAATTGTAAGTCAATGCATATTAAGACTGTTTATAGATATAACAGTTTTAAGGCGTTTAAAGTGTGCTCCTTGGGAAGATGGAAATATTTTTTCAGATCTAAATCGTGTCTGAAGCAACCGTGACCATGATTGAATTTTTCGTTTCCGTTTAGAAAATGCATCATTTACCAATAAATTTTATTTTTGTAGGATTTTAAATTTGGAAAATTGTAAGGTATTGGAATTTATGTTACAAGCTTTAAAGCATTAGAATTATTTATATATTACAGTTGAATTTTTAGTGCATTTTGATAGTTAATGATGCGGACGTGGCCGACTGACAAATTTGCTTATGGGAATAACCGGAGTAAGTATTGAGATATACTAAATATTAATTTACGTTACCACAGAGCAGAATGGAAGGGAATTTTTGTAACGAAATTGCACTTAGCCTAATTATGTCAATCTTGAAACGTACTAACTAGATACTGTCTTCAACTATCTCTGTGGCCGAACGGTTACCATGCTGTTGCCACGCAGAGGTCGGTCCGGGAGAAATGTTTGTATGGCCTGCATTTATTTCTCTCGTGAGTTTGGATATAATTTGTGGTTATCTATGTGTGTGTCCATGTCACGCGCGATACAGGGTTTCCCTAGTGTGATGCTATGAGTGTGTGCGTAAAAAAAGACCAAGTAGGGACCAAATATGCGTAAAAAAAGACCAAGTAGGGACCAAAGATGCGTAAAAAAAGACCAAGTAGGGACCAAAGACGAACTCCATACAAATGTAGCAGCACGACTTGTGTATGTGCACGCCCGCAAGTATTCGCCCGGTATTAAAAGATTATCATGAAACAGTCATCGTTTTTCTTGTTGTGTTTATTATTGTTTGAAGAAGAGTGTGTCAAAGTTAGAATTTTCTTTCTATTCGATACCTACTGAGCATGAGAGGTTACTTTTGCATTTTTTTATTAATTTTGATATGCACTATGGTCATCAATTAGATAAGGAATTCCCAAAAACAAACTTTTCTATTTCTTCGGTTCTGATTTGGGTGTTCCGGATCACAGAAATAAACCCAGACGCCTAAGCATGTCGTCATGGTATAAACTAAAATAAAAATGTGACAACCCTACGCTCCCAGCGAATGTAGGCATCAATGCGCCATACAGGCGGGAGTACTTGCTCTTATATCTCTTGCTATAGAAGACTACTGGAATTCTCCGGAAGACGCATGGCCTGTTTTTTGACTCATACGTATAATAAATATATACGTTGCACTAATTGATAAAAAGTTCATTACGCTACGGTTACAAAAATTTGCTTTTATCCATTCCGCGGCAATGTAAATTAAGGTTTTTGGATTTTTATCTAATAAATTTCTTTGGGATCACTCTCGTTACATTATCGGTACTTATCAGGTTTTGTAGTCTCGCATGAGTGTCTGTGCAGTTTGGTCGCTGACCAAAGACTGTACATAGATATCGTTGGCGTCAACATTAATACGAGAAGATGTTATATATAATGTTTTCTAATATCCCTGCAAAAAAAATAAACTTAGGTATGTATTTGAATGATAATTTAAAAAATTTGCAAAACCAGCAGGAAAAAGAATCTAAACGGTCATTTTTTTAGTGATTGATCCATAAATCAATAGATATTTTAAGCTGTTGTGAGGTAAGCAAAAAAATTGTTCATTTGTATAAATTTATTTAAAATATATAGCTTTAAAAATAAAATATAGATACATATTTTTTGTAATTCAGTTTACTAAAATACTTTTTTATTTTGATGTACTAATATAATTTGACATGAAACGCGAGCAAATTCACTTCTTGCTCTGTGGTTTTGGACAGTGAAGATCAGTGTTGTACAGTTCACCTAGCGGTAAATACGCAGCTGAAGTGACATGTCCCGTAAATTATTATTATTAAATAAGATAAGAATCAGATGAAACCATCTTTTTTAAAATCAAAAATCGTACGTACCCATAATCTCGCGATTGATATTAATTAGTCATCGCGAGCTCGCGCGAGACCGAGCAGGCCAACGCGAGATCGCGTGTTCGTGAAATCGTGTTTCTATTGCAGAGTATAATACTCTAAGAAAGCAGCAACACAGCCATTATTACATGAACAAATATTTCAATTCTCGCCTCGCCCACACTCGTCAATCCAAACCATTTCCACCGAAGATAGGCAAGGATAGAATAGATATTTTATCTTACAAGCATTCCTCGTCTCGTCCACCTCGCCAGTGGAAAACCACCTTTATAACTTGAATTCTTTTTTAAATTTCAAAACCACACATTTTTATGACCCATCCTGTGTTTTAACTTTTAAAGCAATTGCATGTAAATGAAATAAAAGGTAGCACTATTAGTACTACGATATGCAGATTGTAGGACAAATGCGAATTAAAATTCGGTTAATTTACGTACTTTTGCAGTATATGCGCGGTGGATCATCATATAATAGAGTAATGTTTCCGGCCATTAACTTCAATATAGCATTCACGTCACGTACCTGAACAAAAATATTAAAACTGTTACGAATTACTACACTATTCAGCCCTCGGAACGAAAAACGGCATTACAAACTTTTTTTCCAATATTTAGTTATACAGGGTTTTAGTTTATTCTAATTTCTATTAATAATTAATAATAAATTGAACTTAATAAAAATTCATTCAATAAAATAATTTGTAAAACTTATATAGCGTAAATTAGAATGTTTTCTTTGTAAAATTAAAAATAAGGTATTTAATTAATAACTATTGTAACTATAGTGAAAAAATAGGGTGGTTTGCATTAATATTAGACATAACTGGTTGAAGACTGTACCACCTCAGTCAACCGTGACCATGGGACCTGTAAAGGGCCCGAAACGTCGGTTTGTTTGAAAAAATAAATATACGCGACTTAAATCCGGAAAAATACTTTCATTTCCTATGTGTAACAATCGCGAAAACCTAAGAACTCGATATACAGGGTGATTTATAAAATACTAACCAAGACCATATTACTAATATCATAAAAAACTTTTGTTCCATGACTTTTTACAAAACATTTATTCGACAGTTCTCAATCTGTTTTCGACTAAGTAGTTTAAACGCCTTTCGTACGCTTTCTATAAGAATACAAGATATTTATTCGCTGAAAAATATAATTAACATTGCAGGCAGTATATTATATGAGATCGATTTTTGCATTTTACACAATTCTTGTTTTATTTTTGACATAGCATGCATTAAAGTTAAATTAATAGACATAAACAAACAACAACAATTGGAATTTTATGGGAAAATTAAAAGTAAAAAATATAACATACAATCATTGACTTATTGTAAGTCAATGCATACAATAGTAAAATTTCACATTTTATGGTGTCAAGTAAAAAATCATCAATATAGTAACATTGAGTAAGTAACAAATTATGCAATTTAATTTTAAATTGTCTACAATTTAATCCTTTAACAGCATCCCGTACTTTATTAAATAATTTGGGAACTAATACGGACATCGTTCTACTGCAAAATTCCAAATTAGGGCGTTGTTTGGGCCGTATTTCTATTTTATTCATTGTGTTTCTAGGATATTTAGTATTGACTATATTAAAGTTGCTTAGATTTTGTTTGACATAAACACAGGCCTCGTAAATACACATCGATGGTAGGGTTAACATCTTCAGTTTCCTAAAGTAAAGCACACTACTCTCTCGCTGATCCACACCACCCATGATCCTGATACATTTCTTCTGGATTTTAAATATTGTGTGTTGCAGCAGCATGTCCGCAGAGTAGTAATCCATATCGCAAACTAGAGGCTACATAAGCGTGAATCTTTGTCAGATTTATTAGAACATATACACTAAGTTTACTATTTAAGTTATTTATATGTGTCTTCCAGGTCAAGTGATTATCAAAAGTAATGCTCAAAAATTTTGTATCATCAACGTGAGCAACTTTCATTTTGTCCATCGCCATTTATAGTTAAATTTTTAATTTGTAATCATTAAAATTAGTACATCTTACTACCTCAGAGGAATCGTCAGCAAAAAGTACATATTCCATTGAACGTGTTCTGGCAAGTCGTTAAACAGAATAAATAAAAGTGGCCCTAAAATACTGCCCTGCAGTACAAGGTCTTCTACAATTCCTATATATGATTTGACTATTTTTTCCATATTTTTGTCCATGTATGTAATAAATCGACTCCTCCTACGTAAAGGATCGTATGTCGACGTCGCCAAGTTTACAGGCGAGCGTTTTAAAGTTCTGAAGTCACTCGTCACATAGAGTGATCATCTAATAGATCATCATAGATCATCTAACCGATATCTAGAATTTTATAATACTCTATGTGAGCAACGAGCTTTGCCGAATAAAGTTGAGAAATGCTAAAGTCACGTGTTATGCTTATTTTAGTGAATTCAGATCTTTGAAACACTGCCCTGTAAACTTGGCAATTTCGATATACGATACTTTATGTAGGAGGGGTCGATGTACCTCTTGTTGGCGATTCTGTAGGTATGATTTTATTAGCCGCTCACGCGATGCGCTCCTCCTATCGCAAAATGGCGGCTATTTGGTTTCGCAAATTAGAAAAAGATTCAGTTTAAATACAAGTTTTTATAAATAAAAATTATTATTCTGCATTGCTAAATAAATACCCTCCGTACTACCAACAAAAACATCTCAAATAAAATACAGTAATACACCGCAAATCCTGCACTTAAAAAGCACTAATGAAATTTTTGGTGTACTTGGATAAAGATGATAATATTCCGTTTGAGTGGTTCTAACGTTTACCATGAAATTACTCAAAGTATAGTTTATAAACATTTATATTCAGGGTAAACTTAAAAAACGCTACTTACGGTGTTTTCAATAAATAAACACCGAAATCACCAGCCCAAACAATAACACACACGATTGTCGTGACGTATTTTTGAAGTTGTTTATTTTTTTTTAAATGACAGACCCAGGCATTAAAAACTTCATGGTTTGCTAGAGTAGTTATCGAAATAGCAATTAGTATTAGTTCTTTTACCTGTTATAACTTCGATATCCGATAAATCGGTATAAAATCATCACCGGCACCTCTAGGTGTGGTATGCGTCTACGGCTGCATGTATCGCGTGAACGGTTAGATCATATGCAGGTCCTCTCAATCCGTAGTCATATATTTTGTCTTGCAGTAATTTATGTGACATAAAATCAAATGCTTTCGTCATGTCCATGAAGATTGTAGATGTAGTAGATGTTATTTTGCTGCTTTGTTTTTTAAGAGTTCGTCCAGAGAAGTACCTTAACTATTTCTGCCGCCAAGCAGTAATGTCAGCATTACTGTGTTCCAATTTTGAAGGGTAATACGTGCTGGTGAAATGCCTGTAGCACATGGGACTTATCAACTTATGTCTCAGGGTGACGGGCGCCGTGGCAGTGCCCCTCAAATCTTTGCGATTTAAAGCTCTGAGTGGCACTGCAATTGTTATGGATAGGCATTTAGCTTACTATCAGGCGCAAGACTTGTTCGTCCAGTCACTTAATATTATTCAAAGAAAATGCTATCGGAATGAGTTATCACCGTTCAGAGCGATCTATTTAAATGTTTAAAAAAAGTTAAGCCTGAGGAATTATTAAAATCCCTCGAACACAAGTGTCGTTCATGATGTAATTGTTGTAATATAGTCCTGTGACGTTGTTAGTATTTTATAAACACCCCGGAATATATTTAGGGTCAGGAAAAAGTATAGACCTTTACCATTGACTTACAAATAAATGGACGACGGGTCTAATACAAAAATCACGAAAAAAATGTCCCAAGTCAACCTATTTAAACGTAGTGACATGTAAAGGAATATAAAAAAGCTAAAACGTTGAATTTAAATTGTAATGTCATCGCAGTACTGTCTAATTTTGCTTGCTTCGCTGTCAGTCGAACAAACGAAGACTAAAGCGTGAATGACGCTCTGTATGCGATTTTAACGCCCTATAAGTTCGGACACTTTTTAGCGCGGACCCGACGTCCATATAATTGTAAGTATTGACTTACAGTTATAGGATATTTTTATTATTGATTACAATTATAGGAAAAAAAAAGGTAAAGGTCGTTGGACCTTTACCTTTTTTTTTCTAAAATCTTTATCAGTAATTGTTGGATATACTACACTAAGTCCTAAAGGCACAACTGACCAATAATCATATTGCCTACAGCATATTTGATATTTATTAATTTAAAGTTTATTTTATGATTTCATAAAATAAATTACATTTTACCTAGTTTGATATTTTCATTCATAAAATTTTGTACGGTGTAAATTTTGTTTTAATATTATCAAGATTTAAGGCGAGAGTTAGCGAACAAGTTGGTAAGGGCGACAGAAAAATATATGTGAATTATTTATATTATTGTTTTAGATAATTTAGATATTTAAATTTCATTATACTCATAGATTAAACGTAGAGTATTTTTTAAGTTTTTCCAATGAGTTCAAAATAAAAGAAGGTTGGATTGAAGCTGCAGAAAAATCGAAAGATTGGTTTTCTTATTACTATTTCTGACTTTGTTTAAATTTCCATAGCAAATGCATTTAAAAAATAAATAAAATAAAATCGGCCTTATTTTACATGTGCATGCAAAATAAATTAGAAACAAATATAGAAAATTACATAAATACTTCATAAAAAAAAACAACATAATTTATTAAATTCGTTGATGGTTCGAGTTTACTCTTGACAGTGACAGCTTCACCAACCCGTGGTAATCTTTATTTTTTTCCATCCTCTAAGTGGTACCGAATAACGGAAACCTGACCCTGGCGACGATTGCCATATTTTTTATATTTTTCTTAAAAAACGGACACTGGCCCAAGCCTAGTGGCCGCCATTAAGAAAATAATAATAATTGATATTAATATATTAATTTAATAATGCACCAGTACCAGTGCAGGTATAGTATGAAAAATGGAATATTTTTTTGATATTAAAACAACCATTAGGTAGGACGACATCCCTCGTTGAGTAGCGTCAGTTAGTAAGGTTAACAATTCACGGAGCGGTATCCATCCGCGTCCGTCGGTGCTGCTAGACAGCGGTTTTATTTAAATACTCACGATCCTGCAAGTTTGTGCGGGCACGTAGCTGCCGCGGTTGCGAGCACGAAACCGTTGCGATTGCGGAACGGTGCGCGAAGTTAGTGGGAGTTAATCGCAAGTCGAGCGGTTAATAGAGAACTCACCCCGCGTGCGCCTGCATCAAGCGCGCAGGTGATCGCGTCCTGCGCGGTTCTACTAGTACCCCGCCCCGGCAACACCGAGCAACCGTCACCACTACAGGCGTAAAACGCGCCGTGAAATGGGCTACTAATTTTACATATTTAACTATTACATTCTACAAATGCCCGGCGGTCCCGCGGCAGATGCAGCGAAAACCGCTCCGTGAGTTCTTAGTGTAACAAAAAATGAGTTTCAGCGCCATTTAACGTGTAATACTTAGCATTATGTTAGCATTTTTACTAAAACTCCACCTGATGGTGAATGGCTGAACCACGATGAAAAAATACTGAAATATTTTAATATAACTCTTACTCAAGTGACTGTAAGTTTAATTTTGTTAAATTTTAAACGTTTTAAGCCTTACCCAATCAAAATCTTTAAGTTATGGCAGTAGATAATAGAGCGTTAAGGTTGAATTGTACACAAGCTAAAAAGTGGCGACAACGGTACTCGATCTTACATAGCGTCAATACATATCTCCTCTTTTTTCCTATATCTATGGGTAGAATTAAAGAGAACAGAGTACAGAAGGGATTAATGGCGAAAGTCCCTTCTACGACGGGTCGGGAATCTGAGATATGGTCAAATTTACGCAACCCAAAAATGAACCTAATGCAAAGATTCTGCAAACGCTCCTGCTTGTTGAGTAAACCCTCTTACAAGTCTGGATAACAAGCATCCGCATGGTCTAGTATAGACAGAAGTAGTGACTGTGCCAGACTGATTTTAGTCGGAATGGGTGGAAAAATTCCCAAACGTCGAAGGGACGTGTAAGCAGTAAAAATTCTCCTACTAACCTCGGTGACCCGAGGTGCATGCTTTGATCCCTAGGCAGTAAAAGTACCTAATTTTTGAATTTACTTCGAGTGAACAAACTCAAACAACCAGTAGCAGTAGCTTGGTTTTAGTTTCGTGAGTTTTCCGCATAGACCGTCGCGCCATATTATTATTTTCCCGCGTTAGTGCGTTTGTTGTAGCTGTGTGAAAAAAAATTCGGCGAAAATTTCACAATTTTGGTTCGTAATTTTGTTGTGAGAGAGCGAAAAAATTGTAATATTGTTTTTCTCGCAATCATAACCATAACATCAAGTATTGACTCGTTTTAGTCCTTCGATAAAAAATATAATATTTTTTATTTATTTGTTCTTGGATAGAGACAAGGTTCTTCTAAACTTCATAAAGTTTATCGAGAGAGTTCGTTTCCTACGTTTAATATTACAGCCATATAACCATTTCATTAAGTTAACCAATTTTCAATATTTATCTTCATCGCATCTATCAAATATTTTTTTATTTCATTGACGTAGTGACGTAAGACCATTGAATAATGTTGGAATTAAACAGTCCTTAGTCATTTACCGTTATATGTTATTCGTTTATTTATTAAAATTTCATAGCTGCCCATCTCTACTTGTCTTGTTGGAGACTGCTTTAAGAACTATATTTGCAGTGAAGTTTACGAAGGTACAGTCAAGAGCACATCAAGCTAGACACTTTGGACTGTTCTAATGGTAAGCGGCATAGAGTTGGATTTAAGTCTTAAGTGTCAAGCTTGACGTGCTCTTGACCCTGTACCATACGTTCCCACACAGTAATTGATTATAGATTGAACAAGAGCATATCTGTCTGCCATCTACCATTATCGTCGTCGGCGTAGTGTTCATTAGAGGTTTATGTAAAGTGCTTCAGGTCCAGGCAATAAATAATTATCCTTACGATCACGTAAATGTCCAAGTGTACATTACAAAAAATATTGCATTTTAATTTAACGCTATGTATATTTTATATAACTAAAAAAATAGTTTATCATACAAAACCGGCGGCATATTTTTTTTGGGTCCGAAGCATGCTGTCCTTATATTTAGTACATTTTAATGTACCTACATTAGGCGCATTTAGCGCTTTACCTATTGTAGTTGCTGAGCCTTAAGAAGTTAAGTGCATTACAACGGATATTTACTCTCTGGTGGAATCCAGCAAACGTATATAATTATAACTAACATTATACATGCGATTATAATACAGTCTCGGGCAATAAAATCGAGTAGCTAAATATAAAATAAAAATAAAATGTAAAACTCGGAAACAAGTATAGAATAAAGTGAGTTGCAAAAAGCAGTTCTAAACTTTTGTTAGCTGTCTGATTTCTTTGACCGTAAATATAGTTTCTATATCTTTACCGAATCATTTACAGTTTCCACTTGTTTAAGAATATCAACATTCAAACAGCCTTTCTGTGATATATTACTTGAGTTTTTTACACAGTTTAAAGTGAATGATACAATTGATTTCACTTCGTGTCTTAAGATGGTCATGTCTGAGTCTTGCCTGTATACACAAAAAATGCACAACACCAGCATCGCTGTTTGTACAAACTGAAAAAATAAAAAATACACATTGAAAAGACACGTACTCTGTATACATTCAACTAAAAGAGAAACTTAAAAGAGCTCCGACACAAAACAGCGAACACTAAAAAGTTAATGACAATTTACAAACTAGCGGGATAGTGTAATAAGACATATAGTGTAACTTCATACAAACATAGCGGCGGCGGCGTGGTGCGACTTATATGTATGCACGCCCGCTGTGCGTTCTGTACGGACACACACTCGTATAATATCGCGGTGCACACGAGTTGCAAAGCGCGGTTTGCTTGGTGTTTAAAATATTTAATAATGTTAGTACAGAGTAGTAAAAAAACCGATCTCAAAAGTCATTAATCCCCTAGTCTGCCATCCTTAGGCTGCTTTTCCACCAGAGATGTGCGACGTAGCGAGGCGGTATGCGAGGAAAAAATCCACCAATAGGATTACTTCATTTTCCTAGCCTCACTTAGCGCAGGTTCGGTGGAAAAAGGTTAGCGGAGCTAAGTATTTGTACATACAAATAGCGAGAGATGTGTGCGAGGAATGCGGGCCAGGAATGTGCGCAAAACGTTGTAGGCAACTAAAGCTACTGAAAGCATGATATTTACTGACACTGACACACCGCCACCGCTCACCCCACCACACCGTGTCTCGCCTGCGCATAGTTGAGAAGAGTCCGTAACGCATCCTCGCACCGCGCCGCTACACATCCTCCAACCGCCTCGCTATCTCGCACATCTCTGGTGGAAAAGCACCCTTAGAGGTGAAATATTTTGTACCCTCTTTCCAACAAGTTTGACGATACTTGCGATCGGTTCACAATCGCACATCACACGCCGGAGTTATCGCGTAACATACATACACAAAAAACATATAGTCAAATTGAGAACCCCTCCTTTTTTGAAGTCGGTTAATAAAGGCAAAGTACCGAAAACCGGGGTTTCTATCTTTATTGCCTAGCGATATTAATAATATAAATACTAATAAAATTACTACCAGAATTGAAAAAACATTGTTTCAAATTTATATTTTTTCTCTAAGTAAATAAATGCGCATTTGATCTTCATGTTACTTGATTTCTTTATAAATGTATCGATATGTCTTAAACTCGCATTTCATTTCTATTTTCTGATCATACTCGCATAATCGAGATACCAGTCCACGATGCTGATATAAAAATATCAATATTTTAATTACTGCATAGGATGCGTACAGATCTCGCGAATGCGACGCAAATGCGCCTGTTTGCGATAGGCTCGCGAGCTGCACACGTGCATTATGTTGTGCGATCTGTTCGTGTATTAACATGTATTTAATTGCACGCATGCAGCACGCGTTTGCGGCACAATCGCTAGATCTGTACGCACCTTAGGACAGAGAATATTTTAATAATTACCGCACGAGAATACTATGATGAACAACTTGTTTTTTTCTTCAAATTATGTTGTGCAACCTGGTTAACAACTAAAATAATTATGTGACAACCCTACTCTCCGAAAGACGTGTAGGCATTGAAGTGTCACCCAAATAGGAGTTGGACTTCTTGTTTTGATGTACTATGGTATCGGTGTGGCTGTTATTGTTAGGTTATGTCATCTTAAACTAAAAGGTAATCGTATACGAAAATAATTTTAAAAAGTACTCGTAAGTTTTCTTTCCTATTATTATGCAAACTTAACAGGAGAGTCGAACCTACTATTTCTAACTGCATTTCAACCTTATATTGTTATGTGATCTACAAGGATTTTCTGAAGGGGGGTAGCTGTAATCATCTAGAGTGTTTTTTATCTTTAAGGACTTCAGGTTCACCGCAATGAATGCGATTTTTTTCTATTATAATTGGAACGGTGCAGGGCGACACAGTGAGGTTTTACTCTTTTATTAGTAGAGCAAGCAATAATTCACCGCTTTTCTCAACTGCCAAGCCCCACGGTCATGTGGCATACGCGAGAAGGTCCCTAATAGATTGACCACCTTGAAAATCAAACTATCGATTACAGAGAAATCATTAGTTTCAAGTATCTAAAGAGTTGGTTAAACATATATTTAACAATATAGCTTTTAAGACTTTCGTGGTTATTCACTAAATGATTATCACTAGTATCAGGTTTCTTACCACGGTATGACTTCTTTTTATTTTCCCGATATTTCGGAACGGTTGCACGCTGCATGGTCACGGGTTGACTGGTTGAGTGACAATGGTAACGCCACAACAAATCGCGATGAAGGTAGTCGTCGACAGCGCAAGAGGGTAGACAGATATGTCTGCTCATAAAGCTGTCATCTGCCGTCGTCCAGTCAACCCGTGACCATGGAGCGTGCAACCGTTCCGAAATATCGGGAAAATAAAAAGAAGTCATACGTGGTAAGAAACCTGATACTAGTGATAATCATATATTTAACAAATTCTTAAAAGTACCGAAAAATAAATACCTTTTTAATTAATTTTGGAACGACCATTGTTTTGACTGTTCTGTGACAGGCAACATAAAAAAATAATACAGAAAGGATAAGTCCGGCGATGGATATCATGGCGTACAATAGTAAATCCTGTAACAAAATACTTGATTACTTTACGTTACCTGTAAAGATACCTGCTAAGTGAAGAAATATATTTGTAACAAAAGGTGCAACGGCAAAAAAAATCGTTAAAAGCCAAAAACAAAGATCTGCAACAAGCTTGTAGAAAAATCAGTCAGAATCCCGATTCAGAACTCTTCGATATCTTAACCGAATCGTTCGATTGGGTTGTTCTCGAATCGAAGGGCGCTTTCCGAGCTATTCAGAACATTCGAGTAAAAACGTTCGACTCGGATACGATATCGTTATCCAACAACGTTGATGGAGTTAGTCGGCGAATATAGATTATAAGAAAAATTAAATCCTTTTATATACATTTTTAAGACTACAAAGGCCATTGACTTACAAATAAATGGACGACGGGTCTAATATAAAAACCACGAAAAAAATGTCCCAAGTCAACCTATTCGAAATTTAAATTGTAATGTCATCGCAGTATCGCGCTGTCAGTAGAACAAATGAAGACCAAATCGGAGTTTGGCGCTCTGTACACGATTTTAGCGCCTTACAAGTGCGGACACTTTTTAGCGCGGACCCGACGTCCATATAATTGTAAGTCAATGACAAAGGCCTAAAATATAGTAATGCATTAGTCTCGCATTATAAGAAATTAATAAAATTGAACAAAATCCAGATTTTATTTCAAATAATAAAAGATTTTCATATTACATTCTTGCTTTGTAAACAATAGGACGTTCGGTAACTTTCATTCGATAACTGTGTTCTGAATAACGTTTGTAGCCTTTGCCGGTCGAGAATTACGAGTAATCGTAGGGGTGTGACGTCATTTCGATTCGGTTTCGATAACGACAGTTTGACGTTCGATTCGGTTATTGTGAATAAAAATGAAAAGAAATCGTACGATATCTATCGATATCGACAGAGTTATCGTTCGTTCCGTGACTTAATTGGCTTAGCGTCTGGCACGGTATGCCGGAAGACGTTGGTTCGAATCCAGCCGGATCAAAGAAATTTTTTCTTAACGTTCGATGTTTGCATTAATAATTATAAAATAAACATATATACTCACGAGCCAATATGTTTTTGACTTTAGAAGAAAGTAATGTTTTTCAACTAAATGAAATAGACGCGGTATATTACTGAATGCGATGGAAAGAATCATCGGTGATGGTTTATATATCGGGTTAATTACGTTATAATTAATAGATTTCAGATCTGTATTTAAAATTTTCAATGGCTTTGTATACATTAGCCCCGTCATATCTTGTGTCATTATGGACGTAACATTTTGAACAATCGTTTGACCATGTTTCTCCATTTTACGATGACTTTTCGAATGACGCTCTCTTTGCAGTGTACGTTCAGTACTGGTGACAGGCGTACATTCTAGAACAATACAATTATTATTCCTTCGTCAAGAACTTTAGTTTAATAGGATCATGTGACGCCCTGTAAGGGCATGGCAAATTACAGAGGGGCATTTATAAATTATACTAACAAATTATTCAATATCAACAATGTCAATGCATGCATTAAATTCGTTATGATGTTAATACGTACTTAAGCTATCATTCATTCAATATTAAAAAAAATTATAAAAATAATAATAAAAATTAACAATTCATAAAGATATAGATAACTTTGAATCTGGACATCACTAATAAGGCCACATCTGCTAAATGACAGTGCCAAATGAATGAGTAGAGCTTCTTGTGAAAGAGTTCATCTAGGGAAGTACTGCAACCTTACCTATTTCTGTCGCCTAGCAGTAATGTGAGCATTACTGCATTGTGGTTTTGAAGGGTAAGGGTGCTGGTCAAATTACACTCACATGGGACTTTTCAACTTATGTCTCAGGGTGACGAGCGCAGACGCAGTGCACCTCAGAGTTTTGCTATTTCAAGTTCTGAGTGTCACTACAACTGTTATGGACAGGCGTGTCGTTTACCATCAGGCGCACGACCTGTTCGCCCCATCACTTAGCATCATGAACAAAATGACAACTTTTCAGAAGAAAGGTTTTTATACATTAAATAGGAAGGTTATAAAATTTCACACACCTACACATAATATGGGGATATATGTAAACTATACTACTCAGACAAGAGAGAGCATAATAGAGCGGTCTTAAAGTCTTTTTCATCACACTTGCTCGTAAACAGTGTCATGACATGTCATGCAGGCAAAGTCGACCGTAATATCCTATATTATACCGACGGGCTTTTTCATTATATTATCGCCCAACGGATTTTATACATCAAAATTATGCAAAAAGTTTTTATTCTCGAAAAATCGTAACGACATAATGTTTCGCATAAACTCATTGACTTACAATTATAAGGACGTCGGGTCCGCGCTAAAAAGTGTCCGCACTTGTAAGGCGCTAAAATCGTATACAGAGCGCGACACTCCGCTTTAGTCTTCATTTGTTCTACGGACAGCGAGATACTGCGATGACATAACAATTTAAATTTCGAATAGGTTGACTTGGGACATTTTTTTCGTGGTTTTTGTATTAGACCCGTCGTCCATTTATTTGTAAATCAATGCGTAAACTAAACATTTGCAATTTACCTATATTTTACTAAATTTATTTTGTGAATTTCTAATTCTGCAGTATTTTTACAATTTGGAGCTTATTTATTTTATATTTAATACATTGTGACTACATACATCTGTGCCTTTTATGATATTTTAGTTCGAGTTGTACCTATTATTTATGGAGGAAAAGTTGGCAAACTGTTTTGAAGTAAACCCGCCATTTGCAAAATGCGTAAATGTTGTGTTGTAAAGCGATATTTAATCATACAAGAAATAAATTAGCGTTGTATCTATTTTCTCGCAAATGTGCTTAAAAACAATGTATGTGCACACCAGTACGCGCCGCTATATCGCCACTGAGTACCCGCGCACCAGAGTTCAGTAAAGTGTATCACGATAGCGCCACCGCGACGATGGTGGCGCTACCGTCGCTACTATGTAAACGCACTAAACTACCTACAAGTTAAGAGACCAAAAAATGTACAACAGTAGACTAATCTGAAAATACATGTACCGCTTCATTATATCCAAGCAAGCAACACCTAAATATGTAGCATGGGCGGTAAAAATTACAAATCCTGAGTCATTAAGCCCGAAGCCACTCTTCTTAGTAATTTCGTATTTACTGCCCTTATGTAGGCCCTATTACGCCCTACTAAAGAACTTTTTCTCAAACATGCTCAGAAATGTTTGCATTATTTTCAAAAAATGAACACGGAAAGTTTGTCTTTATGGACCATGCGACTTCTTCCCGCCAAGGCCTGCAAGGTAAGTATGAAAATCCATTACTGTCCTCTTCCCTAAACTTTTAAATCTACCTACTAATAATGAACTATGTAAAGAGGCAAAAGAAAAACTCATAGAGCCAACTGCTCAGTGTTCATAACTGCAAGAATTAAAAATACCTACCTGTACCGCTTACTTAAAAAAAAGAAAATAGCGGTAACATTTAAACTAAAGTGTCATTTATTTTTTTCCATCCTTTAAGGTTTTGGTAGCTATTGTTTTGTTTTGTCGCTTTTTTTGTATTTTGGGCGCGAAAATGATTGCTAGTGAGAAGAGCCATAAAGAAAATACAGTAATAGATATACATTCAAACACATCATCAGAAGTTCAGCAGACCACTTTTAATGTGCCTGGAAAAACAATAACATTTTCTATTAGCAATTATATAGTATAAATTTTATTGTTAATTCATATTTTTTTTACTTTTTCTACTGTACATCTTTTTCTCTTTAGTCTTTTATGATTTCCTCGCATTGTTTGAGAAAAATTCTATAGATGCCTCGGCGGGAACAAGGGTTGCTTGACTCATTCTCGTCCAGCAATTCCTTACTTCCCGGCCTCTGCAATAATGTACCATATTTGGATTGTAGAGTTGTAATGGTAAGGCAACTATATATCTTACGTGCCTGCAATCGTGGTCACTCTGCATTACCATTGGTCAAAAATACCACCCTACGCAGATTTAAGTGCTCTTATCTGTAAAATTGTACATATTTACATAGTAAAGAAATTCGTATAGTAGCAAAGATTGGCCTCATGGTTATTAACGCCTTATTATGCAGAGAAGTCGAAGTCAAAGTCAAACAATCGTTATTAAATAGGTAAGAAATTTACACTTAAAATCGTCATACTGATTAAACTCTACCGCTCATTCGTAAGGCAGATTCCCTTGACAAGAATGAGCCAGAAACTCTAGGGGTTGCTCTTTGTAAATATACATTTGAATAAATTTATCGTTACAATATTTAATTTAAACTTTTTTAGATCGAGGATACCTAAAACAGTTTTGCGAGTCACTATCACGGATTTTTGTATAGTTGTATAAAGTACCTTTAGTATAAAGTTTTTGTTTCACAATGGTTTTAAACCTCGTAAATGGCAAATTTTGAATATCAATCGAAATCATATTATAGAAGCGTATATATTGATCCTTAAATGAATTTGAGACTTTATGAAGTGGACTGTCGAGAACAGGTAGTTTAGTTTTATTCCTCGTATGAATGTTACGTCTGCATTGACTTACAATTATATGGACGTCGGGTCCGCGCTAAAAAGTGTCCGAACTTATAGGGCGTTAAAATCGTATACAGAGCGTCATTCACGCTTTAGTCTTCGTTTGTTCGACTGACAGCGAAGCAAGCAAAATTAGACAATACTGCGATGACATTACAATTAAAATTCAACGTTTTAGCTTTTTTATATTCCTTTACATGTCCACTACGTTTAAATAGGTTGACTTGGGACATTTTTTTCGTGGTTTTTGTATTAGACCCGTCGTCCATTTATTTGTAAGTCAATGTATGTCTGTCACAATTTTTCATAAAAATAATGAATATTTTTCTTAATATAAATAATATTTTCATAAATGTACTATGACGTTAGTGTAAGAATATTAATCTCTTTAAACTTATCTCTCAAAGAACTCTGTGGCTCAGATTGTACAAATTGTCCCAACATCACGCACATTTCTGCAGGACAAAGATTCTATTAGTATCGATGGCATTACCCCAAAGTAACGTATGTCATTAAACTGTGAAAGTAGCCGAAAAGTAGGAGACGGTACAACTTCTTCTAACATCATGTTAAACTGTCTGGCGTGTATTTAAATATACGAAGATAAATATTAATTATTTTTGTACTGTTGTATAGTATCATAGTCTTATTGTAAGCAGAAAATTTACCAGTCCACGACTGCTGAAAAATGTTTATATACCTCCAATGAATCTCCAATTTCTAAAATCCAATCTAATGTAGTATCTGGATTAGGGGTTGGAAGCTGATTTATAATTGTAACAGACAACACTAGCGTCTTTCGAGCGTCAGCGTCTTGCCAACACACGCACAACGTCGACAAGACGTTCACGCGGTTGTGACTCAACGCCAGCGCGGCGTATACCCGACTGACGTTCGGCACTATTCAGGGTGTCTACTACCGTTCTCCTTCCAACATTCGACCGAAACAATTACTGTCAAAGAAGTAATATTCGATCAACTCAATAAACAAATTTCTAGTATCCAGCTTCATTCGCATCATGCTTCTGTTAATTTGGTTGAGTATTACTTATGTCATCATCACCATCATCATTCAGCCATACGACGCCTACTGCTAGGCATAGGCCTCCCCCAACGATCTCCACGACGATCGGTCTTGCGCTGCCCGCATCCATCAGCTTCCCGCGACCTTTACCAGATCGTCGGTCCACCTGGGGGCCTACCCACAGAGCGTCGTCCGGTGCGCGGTCGTCATTGAAGAACCTTTCCGCCCCAACGGCCATCGGCTCCCCTAGCTATATGCCCCACCCACCATCACTTCAGCTAAGCAATTCTTCGAGCTATGTCGGTTACCTTAGTTCTCCTATGGATTTCTTCATTTCTGATTCTATCACGTAGGGAAATACCGAGCATCGTTCCTCCATTACCCGCTGAGTGACCTTGAGCCTTCTTATGAGGCCCATAGATACATATTACTTATGTATTTCACAGTAATTGTTTCGCATTAGTAATTTCATTCGCTCACTGATGCCGCGCTGGCGTTGTGTCGCCACCACGCGGACGTTGGCAACACACTGACACCTAAAAGGGTGGGGGGACCCCCAAGAGACCTCTTATGTTGTGTATTTTTAAATATTTGTAACATTTTGTCTAAACTGCATATGTGAAAGTACGAAATACATTATTTATATTTAGTGTCTCATGTGGTTCGTGTTTTTTTTTATGATTTTCGTGTGATGAAAGCACTATACATAGAAGTATGTTCACATGTGGTCACATGTGTCCATATATAGCAAAGAGGGAATTAGCAATATTTGTATCAAGTTATACAATCTATCGATATTTGAATTAAGTGAACTAGTCGAATTTCTGTTTATTATATCACGCACACATTCAACATAGCCCTGCACTAGGGAAACCCTGTGTCGCGGGAGCCATGGACACACACACACATAGATAACCACAAATTACATCCAAACTCACGAGATACAAATATTTCTCCTGGCCCGGGAATTGAACCTGGGACCTCTGCGTGGCAGTCCGGCATGGGCAACCGTTCGGCCACGGAGGCGTTAAAGTCGGATATTAATAAATATCAGGTTATAAGGTCATAAGTCAGGTTTTAATTTAATCGCTTCTCCGGTTAGAAGAATGTGTGACAATTTTTAACGAACTCAGAAAAAGGAGGAGTTCTCAATTAAATTGTATATATTTTTGCATATCCGATCGCAATAAAATTCGGCAAACAAATGTAATTCCACCAAAAAAACAGATAAGCAAACTTTTGAAGTCGGTTTTTTTTAATTAAAAAGATATAACTTTTTAATTATACCTTTTTGATTAAAAAAAATATCAAACATTACACCATGAGCCTATAATAAACAGCAGCTGACGTCATCGACTTAGAAGGCGTCTTTAATCTCATCGTATCCTTGCATAATTTGGGCGAGGTAAGGCTGCCTTTCCACCAGAGATGTGCGAGGTAGCGAGGTGGTGCGAGGATGTGTAGCGGCGCGGTGTGAGGATGCGTTACGGACTCTTTTGAGCTCTGCGCGGGCGGAGTACGGTGTGGTGGGGTGAGCGGTGGCGATGTGTCAGTGTCAATTAGTGTCAGTAACTTTCAGTAGCTCCAATTTCCTACTCCGTTTGGTACACATTCTTCGCTGGCATCACTCGCACACATTCTTCGCTTACATCTCTCGCCATTTTGTATGTACAAATACTTAGTTCCGCTAACCCTTTTCCACCGGACCTGCGCTCAGCGAGGAAAGTGCAGTAATTCAATTGGTGTATGTTTTTCTCACACACCGCTTCGCTACGTCGCACATCTCTGGTGGAAAGGCACCCTAAAACGGGGACAGTAAAAGTAGTTTTCCCAGTTCGCAATACGTCAGTATACAGTATCACAGTCAAGAACAAGCTTGTTAATGTCACACTATTACTTACACTGCATGCATTACTACCTCCGCTAAAAGTGGACAACTATTTTTACTTATATAATATTTATTATAAATACTACATATTGTAAACTTACTTGTATCCTCAACTAAAATGTTTTCCATTTCGTACGCTGGTACGTGTATATAGTCTGCTGCGTCAGTTTGTACCTGAATTTTTGGAAGTATTTTTTCCTCTTCATCGGATTCTGATTTATCAAAATAATAAAATTTGTTCATATTTTCCGACTGAATTTTTTGTTTTAGCTCATAATGGCTTCCTTGTGTGACTAAAAACAACTGTTTATAACTATAATCACGTGTACTTGTAATTTTTTCTTCGGTACTAAAACGCGGTGAATTGAGTTGCACCGAATTACTTGCCTCTGTTTCATGTTTTCTGTGCTTTGAAGTATTTAAATATTTCCGTTTGTGAATGTGCTGTCGTTTTTCCATACATTTTGCTTTTAAGGAATTTTCAAATTTCCTCATGTAATCCTTGTTTTCGGAAGGTGCATTATTATAGTTAATTCTATCATTAACTTCATAAGCGGCAAAATTATTAATGGCATCTATATCATTAAAAGAATGTGAATGCAAAAGATAATCAGGCTCTTGTTTGTCATCATTTTCCACATTGTCATTATCTACCAATTCATCTTCACTGGAGCTATTAACATATTCCGACATTTTTTTGAATTTCCATTGGTAATCAGAATAATTATTATATTTTGATCTAGTTTTACTATTATCACGTTTGTGTGACTCTATTTTCTTAGTTAACACTGTGTGTAGTGTAGTATATCTACTGTTTTGATTATTTCGGTCTTCTAATATTGAAAAAAACAAGGCTCGTTCATCCTTTGAAAAACATCGAGATTTTTACGTGCACATTCAGATTTATCTGTCTAATTTCGGAGTTACTCCAACTTCTTCGTTACCTACATTGAAAAGTGGGTTTAGATATAGGGATACCAACAAAAGTCTTTCTAATTGCATCTGGTATCTGGTATATATCTAAGCAAAATTCTAAATTTTCAATAAAATTTAATGCGTTTTCTAGCGCTATCTGAAATCTGGTCGGATCATCATGCCTACTTAATATAGTTTCAATTATCGGTTACAAATTAATGTTATCTTGTTTATCATAACAGAAAGCACTCAGGCAGGCTTTTTTTTAATGTTTACCGTGTGCTGAAGAACAATGTGTTGTTTTAAGTATTCAATTATGTTTATTTGATTTACGCTTCCATGAGACAAGCTTGAGCTCCGGCAAGACTTGCTACTGAGCACTGAGTCTTTATACTCAAGGGCAATTGAGTTGATATGCTTTAGCGGTCGCTTTCACCGCTTTGTAAGCAACTCTGCTTGATGTCGGTGCAGGAAGTTTGTGAATCCAAAAGACATGCGAAATTTACAAACAGCATTGCACAGGGTTAGGATATTCATATATGATGTTAGATATTTGACTGCAAAACTCGAAAGGGGTTGTCTGCTATCGCAAACAGTTTACGTTTAAGCAAAAAAGAGGCACTATACGAAATAATTTTAAATTTTTCAATGATGCGATAAAGGAAAGTGATGAATATGAATTGTGCCTACTCATGAATGCATATTTATTTCTACATTTTTTTAAGTAAAGACTCACAGCTCCGTACTGGAGAAACCCTGAATCGCGGGTGTCGCGGACACACACATGGACAACCACAAATTTACACAAAATTAAATAAACGTAAGCCATAGAAATTTCGCTCCCGGCTCTGGAATCGAACCGGGGGGCCTATGCGTAATAGATCAGCTTGGTAACCGTTCTGCTACTAAGGCAGTATATATATCAACGAGTAACTCGAATAGCTGGCTGTTTACTTAAATGCATCTAAACTGTAAAGTTTCTAACAACCACTTTAAGAGGTTCTTTATTAAAAAATCGATACCACCAACCAGAGTTTAAAAAATTGTAATAACATTGTTCACTACCAAGTCAACTATCAAGGCAAAGATCTATCAAGTTGTCTTAATATATTTTCGCCTTGGTAGTTCTTTGCATTTAAGACTCGATACAACCTGGTATTGAATAATTTGTTTTTAGAAAAAAATAATAGTAAAGTTGAGTTGTCACTGATTAGTATTTTTTATAAAAACACGATTCCTAATTTTCATGATAGGAAAAAAAATACAAACTTACCTCGAAATTTTACCGGAAAACCGTTGTACCTATTCAATAGTTACTTTACATATACCAATGATTTTTTTTTATATCAACTGAACATTTTCAAATAACTTTGAGAATGTCAAAGTCAAATATGAAATTAATCAAAGAAATAAATATATCAAAGTATTGCTACTGTAAATTTTTATACTTCCATATAAAGGAGTAGGGTTCAATTTACTGGAAGTGAAAACTACAAGCTCTAGAAGCATGAACACTTGAAGGTATATCACTTTTATTTAGTCTAGGCTTACTAAGAACAGATTTTTAGAAGTTCAACCCTTGCAGTGGTGAAAAAGGGAATATAAATTATATTGTATGAAAAATCGTATTCCTTGATCTTCACAAAGATGAAACTATAAATAATAATACTATGAAATTAGTATTATTATTCTATAATGTAAGTGGTAAAAGACTGACATAAAATTTTATAAAAACTAGTCCAAAATAACAATTAAGAAATTACAAATTGGTATTGAAACAGGGCATTAAAGTTTATAAGGGAACTTTTTAATGTACGCGATTTGCTTCAAACCTGGTTTGGATACTTTAAATATACAATAAACAAACACGTGTATCAGGGCTTTTCTGAACAACCCCTAAATAGGGGTAAGATAGGGTACTGAAGTATTTTTAAAAACCTTTTCTATAGAAGATCGTATTTCTTACATTTGCAAACTTGAATATATTTCATTTAGTAAATAATGTACGTTAATTTGGGTGCATTAACTTAATTCACTCGAATTAGTTCAACCTAGGTGCATTAAGTACACTTTTAGTAAACATAAATCACCTGGGTGCATTAGATAAACAAAGTAAACTGTATTTACCACGATATTTAAGGACGCCAGGATTCAACTCATTACATGTTACAGATACGGTGATGAAAAACTTCGTGATGAAATCTGCATGTCGAAGAAGGTTCACAATGAAGTCCCCAACCCGCATTTGACTAGTATGGCGAGCTATGGCCTAAACCCTCGCATGAGAGGAGACTCTACCCAGCAGTGAGCCGTACAAATAGGTTACAGTATGACGAGTGTTCTGAATAATGCACCCAGGTGATTTAAGTTTACTAAAAGTGTACTTAATGCTCCTAGGTGAACTAATTCCGGTGAATTAAGTTAACGTACCCAAAAATTTCACGCAGAAGGTGTCGTGGGCACCAGCTAGTAGTTTGTTTCACAAATCGTAAATGACTTCGAATGATTGACACTCCACACTAAGCCTTTATACTATATCACATTTAGATGTATATATATAGAAATTTAATTTAATTAGGAATGTAAGTTTACTTACCTGTTACAAATACTCGTGAACAATTTACTCGATTATACAATATTAAAATATAATTTTAACAACTTTTTAGGCGTTGACAGCCGCAATCAAAATAATAGCCAAATAATGAGTGACTTTTATCAAAAAAGCGAAGTAAGGCTGAAGCTTAGACTATGGAAACTAAAGGACATGTTACGTTGACATATATAAATCAGACGTTATATGTATATGATGCATTTCGTCGTCGAAAACATAAACATATTATTGTCTTTGTTTAACTATTACGTGCCGTCTTAAGCCAAAAGAGATAGCATTACATTGGTCTGTGTCAAACACGGGAATCGAAAATTCGTAACGTCATTTTAAATGCCAACCGTGGCCATTTCAAGTACATGAGGTACATGATACCGTTGTCAAAGGGAAGTACATCAAATGTCAAAACAAATGTTTTTCCAAATGTATTATTGAATTATTCACATGTATTATAATTAAATTGGACAAAAATATTGACAGTGAGAATAATTAGGTATTAATAAAAATGCGACGCTGCAGCATTAAAGGATGCGGCTTTAGAAAAACTGCAAATCAATCGAATGTTACATTGCACAGGCATGTGTTATTTTTTTGTCTATAAATCACACAATAGCCCGTATATTTTATGTAATTAGACTTATTTAAGTAGTTTATTTATAAATCTTGCCAAATTTTGCTTTTGTTACTTTAGATTGCCTGTTTGTTTGTATATTTTGATGATTGTTGTTAACGATTATTTTGAGATAGTGTTGATCTTGTAAGCATATTATCGATATTCTGTTATTAAAACAATTCACTATGAGGTTTTTATTGTTTTATTATTATTATTTCAAGTTTTCCTACAAATGAAAAAAGGAAGAAAGAATGGTTGCAAATCATAGGACTGCCGAATATAAATGTTGGATCAAAGACCATCTTCATTTGTTCGCTTCATTTTGAAGAGTCAAATTTTAACAGAACTTTAAATGTAACTAGATTACATGACAATGCTATTCCATCATTAGGTTTATTGGTTTACGTTATGTAAATATGTACTAAAATGTAGGTTAAAGGCGTACCTCTTAAAGTAATTTTTATATTTTATTTAGTAAGTACAATTAATACTACGTAATGTTAAATACAAGTAAAGTAGGTATAATTAAGCAAGAATGCGCATGTCGCCAACAAACTGCACAGCAGTTTGGTGACTTTTACTAAATAAGTTACCAGTTGTAATGTTGAAAATAAATTTTTTTTGAAGTTTAAAAATGTGTGTTGACATTTATAATAATATACCACTCGAGATTAAATTATCAGACTTGTGTTTGTTTAGGCATACTTTTGTTACAGTAAACTAAAGAAACAAAAATTCAAGCCATACATTTGCATGTCGATAATGACTTATCGATAGATTATGGTACAACACTAAAGAAATCCGCCATTTGTAACTTTCAAATTTTGGTAATATGCACGTTGATTCTGTACTTAGGGCAGCTCCTTTCTTTTATTTTTTTCCATCCTCTAAGGGCTGAAGAATGAGTAGAATTTTTTATGGCCAGATGCGTTCCGGTTTTGAAGACTAAGGGCGCATTCATTCGACTCGAATTTCATTGCGCTCACCCGCGAGGTCGCCGCGCGGAGACCGCGGCGGCCGCCGTGCGTCTACCTGTTATGGCAAAATACGCTTTGCTTGTTTAGCTTTTACGTTTTAACTTAGATGAGCGTCCCGGGCACGTGGGCGAGACTGGCTCGAATTTGGTCTAAGCGGGTGGCCCGCGCGGCAGCCGGACGGCGGCCACGCGGGTGCATTATTCAGAGGAATTTTAATGTTGTTGCATAGTAAATAGAATTCAGATGCGCCATTAATGTACATGGACAGGCATGTAGCTTACGATAAGGCGCACGACTTGTACTTCCTGTTACTTGATATTATAGAAAAAGTGATCGAGAAAGGTTTTAATTTACAATGTCCAGCTCAGTAAAAACATATAAGCTGTGTACACAACATGATGTTCACTTTTAATACATTCGCACGACCTACATGCTGAGCAGCCCTAAATATTTGTAAGTGATGTAGAACAACGTACTATTACGTATATATACTAGGGCATACAAAATGTTAATAGTGACGTCATTGCTCCACACCATAATAATATCAAAATATTGAATTC